ACAACCAAAGGGAGAGTCACTTCAGCTCCATCTCTCTCATAGCTTCAGGAAATCAACAGAAACTGGTTGGGTTTCCATAAAGGGATTCCTGGTTTTCATTTGTTCTTGATTTTTCAAAGGGCATGTTAATATTCAAATGAAATGAATACCAGATATTCACTATAGTTAAAAGATTAAAGTGTTTAAGTGATTTAAGGATGTGCTTAAGAATGAAACTGAAATGACTAAAAGTTGTGCCATATTGTCTACTGAATACTCCTCCCTGGACACCAACCACCTCTGGACAGATAAACACAGCTATAATTACCTGGGAAATGCCTGAGTTTTGGTATGAATGACTCAAGTGTGACTAGGACATGAGGCTGAGATTTGGGGCCACCCTAAGATGCATATCCCTGTTTTTTCCTCTGTAGAGATGGTACCAGGAAAGAGAATTCAGAGCTGAGTTCAACAAAATTCCTTATTTGATCTTCTTTAGTTCATATTTCCTTTAGTTAATAAAAAAATCATATCATTTTTATTTAAACAAATGTTTACTGGGTATTTTTGTTGGCCAGGCATCTTCTTATGTTCTCTAGATTATGTTATTTCATAGTATTTGCCCCAAAGAACTAGAGGCTTCATATCTAAGGCAAATAACAAAGTAAAGTCAGTATCTAGAATATTTGGGTAAGAAACCTGGAAAGTCAAACAAAAACTACATTTTTAGTGAATCCTTATCTTTCTTAATGTAAATATTGGACAGATTTCTTACCTTAAGGTTTGAGAACTTTTTACCATAACTAAGACCTAGTTTGATTTCCTTAAAGCTTTCTTCACTTCTGGTACCATTGAGATGCCTATACTTAATTAAATGTCGCAACTCCAATTAATTATTTCATGAATAATTGTATTAGCTGTCATTTGTTTGAATTATCATCATGCCACTTTGTATTGCCATTGATAACTATCTTAAAATATTGATGAGGATAAAATATTATAATATTCAAATTAGTACCTCATGACAAAATGTTATCTAAATAAATTTTCTTATAATTATGTTTTACATTACATAGAGTACAGAACAGTTTGGGGATACTTCCCTGACTTCATATTATACCTGCTGCTAGCTGAAAGCAAAAAGAACATCTTTTTCAAATTACTTAATCTCCAATATACTCAGATTTGAAAATGTATTGTCTTTAGAATGTTTAAAAACCATTCAGGGGCTTTATTATAAAAATATACCATTTTTTGGTACCATCTAAATTTTTATTAAAACTAGAGGCCGAAGCACAAAACTCATGAAAGAGTAGCCTTCCTTCCTCCAGGTACTGGCACCAGCTTCCCTTTGGCACTCGGCATCCAGGAACTGGGCTTCCCTCGCAGCCCTGGCTTCATCCGAAGGTCATCAGGTCTAATTAGCATATTATGCTTTTATTATTATAGATAGAATATAAAACATTGTAGATAATCTGAGGAGAATAGAGGAAATCTATCTAAAACTTTAATTCTTTCATTTGTGAATTATATGCATATGTCTATATGTTTACATAATGTTTATAACAGAATACATAAATTAGAAATACTGAGTTTTAAACTTAACATATCACAAACATTTTGGTGTAAAACAAATGCAATCAGACATCCTATGGCAAGTGTGTAATTTTGGAAGCAATCTGTTTCTTATTCCAATGTTACTTGGCTGGTTAGGTCAGATGATTGGACCATAGGACAAAACTGATGAAGGTTATAGTTTCAATTTCTAGGTAGGTCAGTTAGCTTTACACTGTTTCATGGTCACATGGAGGGGCTAAATGACTTAGAAAGAAAATGTGGGTGCAATACTGTGAATTCATCCCCTCAGCTCGGAAAACCACCCACAGCTCAAGTGCTAGGTTTGTGCCAATCCCAAAGTGATTGTCAGGATGGAAGAAAAAAAAAAAGGAAAGAAAGAAAGAAAAGAAAGAAAGAGAGAGAAAAAGAAAAACCAAAGAGGAAATCCTGACCCTCACAATACAAAAATGTAATGCTTTGTAGCTCTCATTTCCATAACATAATATAACAACCTGCCTTTTCTTTTATAGATATAGTTGAGGGGCTCCAGCTGATCACCTGCCTGAAATGATTGCAGGCCTGGTGGGAAGCATTTGAGGAAGCATAGTCATGTTTCCATTTCACTAGGAAATCATTTAGCAAATTACTGCTGTTCTGTAAATTGCTGTGCTGCATGACTTCCATACTGAGAAACTATTTCCTTTTTCTATAAAAATTGCAGATAAAAGATTATCACAGTAAATAATCTGTATTTAAAATAAACCAATTCCAAGAATTTAGAGAATGTGATACACTGTTTCTTATATGGGAATATAAAAAATACATTTTATTACTAATATTAAAAATATTTCCTATGTTAAAGTCAAAATTTCACTTATTTTGTTTGTTACCCTTTCAGATGATACTTAAAAATTTCTGAGGGTAAATAACAAGCTAAGTATTTATTTTTAAAGGAAAACAGTTAATTTTGGAAATCATAGTACTTTAAGCCTAAGTTTTTTTTAAGAGGATCTAAGTATCTTTAAGAGAATCACACAGTTAGTAATCAACCTAAATAGAACATGGCACTGAGAGCAGTTTTTATTATGTTAGGGCCTGTGTAGATGTCAGTCTGAAAGGAAGAAACTCAGTAATTTTAATTTTGCAATGAAGTGATAGGCTCAGACATAATCTGGGGAAAACTGATGAAGGATATTGTGTAAATTTCCTGAGGCAATGCTCTAAGAGGATCACATTCTAATATGATGCTCACTGCTGATGTGGCAGGAAGCTCACAGCAGGCCTCACTCCTCTGGTCTTTTCCAGAGACACTCGGATCGTGGAACTCGGCCCTGACGCCTCCACTTCAGTGGCAGTACGATAGACGAACAGAGGCAGGGGGACATCTCTTCCTCAGAGAATGAGATCCCACTTTCAGACCTGCTTTTTCACAAAAAAAGGGGGCTTGGAAACAATAGTGAAACAGTCTCATAGAGACTAAGTAGATTTCCCCAAACTTAAAGGTTGTTAAGAGTAATAAAGAAAAAATGCTTCATGGCAACTAAAATTTTAAAATAATTACAATAGGTGCATATTGAAATTAAAGCTCCTTATACCTAAAACTAGCTATAACATCACTAAATTTAAATATCTGATAATTGAATCCAGAATTAAAGTTGTGGCAAACATGGAGAAAATTCAGAAAATGACATAAATGTGATTTTATTGTTGCAAATAAAACCTTGGAGGGAAAACTTAAAAGGGCTGTTATGATTCATTTTGAAGATGAGTAGATTTAAATTATTATTTTTTTCAGCCTTTCTCAATCTGTGTTCCTCATCTAAACTACAGAATACTGAAAATAATTTAAGTGAATTTTCAATTCCTCCGTGGATTGGACATAACTAGTACCATTCTAAATACACTAAAGAGAAGTTTATCCATTACATATAAGGCTGCCTTAGGGCACTAGGGCTCAATTCTCTCTCATAATGGGGGTTGGTAACAAGTGGTAACAAGTGGATACACAGTGAACCATAAACTAATGTCAGCAAGTTATCTACAGCCTCAAAAATGCATTTATAAAGTAGATTTGTAGACTATAATAAAGTGTGAATTTCTTAAAGATAAATTACTTAGTATTATATGGGTCTATTGAGGAAATTTACACAATATCCTCTCCCAAAGATTTTGAAGATAGGATTAATACATTCTTCTGGCAAGAATGGAATGAAGTATGTAGCATCTGAAGGCAGAGGTCTTGAAAAGTATGTTTGATTCTTCCAGTTTGGGCTATTCAAATGTCCACAGTGGGGGAGCCCCGAGGTTAAAAGGGGGAAGAGCAGAACATGCTGTGGGCTAAGAGCATTGCCTCAGTGAGGAACTCACTGTAATAATGCACAGAAATACCTATTCACTGGTGTCAAGAAAGGGAAAGTAGCAGAAAGAATGCTGATGCTGAAGAATTCTTGAGAAAAAGTAAATCTTTATAGGGCCATTTAGGTTCTTTAGAAATATCTTTTGTTACATCTCTAATATTATTTTTTTCTTAACATATAATGCCAGTTGAATCTAGAATACATACTTGATAACACATTACCAGTAAGAACATAAACAATTCTTATTCAGAACTACAAAGATATAGAAGACTAAATAAAGCAGACTCAGAGATAGTCACTTACTATCGATATCTAAAAGCAACCTGATTTTTTATGTCTATTTTTTTTATAAATACACACATAGGAAAATCCTGAATACTCTGTTCTTTTATTAGTATATTCTTTTTAAATTATAGTTTACATTCAATATTATTTTGTATAAGTTTCAGGTGTACATCATAGTGGTTAGACAATCATGCAGTATATAAAGTGTCCTCCTGATATTTCCAGTACCCATCTTGCAGCATATATAGTTATCATATCATTGACTATATTTTCTATGTGGTGTTTTACATCCCCATGACTATTTTTGAATACTGTACATTTTATGAGTTAAATTCTAAGTTACTGAAGTCCCACGTTGTTGTCCATATTGATCTTTTGTTCATTAATCCGCATTATCATGATTCAAAAACTATTAATGTGAACTATACACTCAAACTTTACAAATGACTTTTTCTAATGTTGCTTTAAGGAGTATTTGGACAAGGCATCAGTCATACTGTGGATACAATCTGCTTTCTTTGGCAACATTAATGTAAAAGGCGAGTCCATATTGATCTTTGCTTATGCAAGCAGTTCACATAAATTCCATGAAATTGCAGGTGAGCAGCAGTGGTTTGCTCATTTTGTCTTCTAAGACAACAGTGCCTTGAATATTTGAGTGTAAAAATCTCTTTTATAAAAAACAAACACATCATTTACTTACATAAGTTTCCATTGTAATGAAGTTAAGGTTGGAACAGTTAAAATAGCTCAAAGATGAATAAGTACATGAATAAAACTTTTTTTCATATGTGTAATTGCTGCCCTCTTTTCCATTTACAGCTATTCAAGAGCACGAAAATGAGTCTGTGCCCCTATCCTCAAGCCCAGACATCTCCTTAAGTAAGTCACAGCTAGATGACTGCCCAAGGGACTCTGGTTGTTTTATCTCATCAGAAAATTCTGACAATAGCAAAGAAGACGTGGAGTCTGAAAATCTGCCTGACATGGTTCAGAAGATGACTATCACAGAAACAAGTGACTGAACACATTCTCCACTCTATATCCACATCTGCATCCTATGTAACTCTTCTGGAGCTAAAAGGTTAACTAGGAAAGAGAGGTATTTGCAGATAACAATCTAAAGTTAAGATGTTTTATTCTGAATGAGTATATGTAAAAGTTTATATCTCTAACATTTCCAATTTTTGTAAATAATATGCATATTTATTATTTTAAGTGATACAAGTTAGTATTTCATATGTGTGTATTAGGAAAGGTATAATGTAAGTCTTTAGTATGTGTGACGTAAACTTTATTTTGTAAATGCAAAATGATAAATTCTACAAAATCTTCTTCTTTTTTATTTTTATTTTTTATTTTTATTTTTATTTTTTAAAATATATTTTATTGATTTTTTTACAGAGAGGAAGGGAGAGGGATAGAGAGCTAGAAACATCAATGAGAGAGAAACATCAACCAGCTGCCTCTTGCACAACCCCTACTGGGGATGTGCCCGCAACCAATGTACATGCCCTGGACCGAAATCAAACCTGGGACCTTTCAGTCTGCAGACCAATGCACTAGCCACTGAGCCAAACCAGTTTTGGCAAAATCCCCTTCTCTCTTCATACCTATCAGTTTTGAATTTGTGTCTATTAGAAATAAGTAGGAGTGGAACCTGTGTTTGTTTAACCAATTATCCAAGCAGTATTTACACTCATTTTTATAACTATTGTTATATGGTATAAAAGTATAGATAGTATACTGTCAGTTCTGCTTTAGTAAAATGAATTGTAATAATTTCACAGTTGTTTCAAGTTTAAGTGTACATACTTTAAATTTTGTAATGCCCTAATTTTAAAAATAAAGTGAATTATGTGCATTTAGTATTTTCCAGATTAGTGTTACTTTCATATTAGGCATTTTCATATTAGGCATTCAGACAAAATATCTCCTACCAGCAAGATTTTGTAGTCAGTCCTCACTATATCTATCCTATATATAAACAAAGCCTAATATTTTAAGTGTCCGGTTGTCCGATCATCCATTCAACCAATGATATGCTAGGGCCATTCAACCACTTGCTATGATGTGCACTGACCACTCAGGGGCAGACTCTCAGACCAGTAGTTTAGCTTGCTGCTGGGGTCCAGCTGGACAGGACTGAATGAGGTGGGCCAGACATGTCCTGGAGCCCTCCCATGATCCCTCCCCTGATGTCCAACCTCCCACATCTCTTCTCATCCCTGGTTGTGCACCAGTGAGGTCCCTTAGTTTGGTCTGCACTCACTGGCAATTTAGGACCCTTGGAGGAATGTCAGAGATCTGGTTTTGGCCTGATCCCACAGGCCAGGCCGACGGGCCCCACTGGTGCATGAATTCATGCACCAGGCTTCTAGTACATATAATTCCCAAATCAATAACTCACTTCAGTCTGCCTCCTGAGCTCCAGATCTGTGTTATCTAACTTCCTGAATACTTCTATGTATTAGCTTAAGTTGCCATAACAAAATACTATAAACTAGATGGCTCAAACAATATAAATTTATTTCCTCACAGTTCCAGATGTTAGAAGTTCAAGACCAAGTGGCCAGCACTAGAGTTCTGATGAAAGCTCTCTTCCTAGCTTGCAAAGAGCTACCATCTTACTGTGTTCTCACATGGCAGAATGATAGAAAACTTTCTGGTGTTTCTTCTTATAAGGACACTAATCCTATCAGGAGGGCCCCACCTTCGTAACAATTATGTCCAAAGGCCCAATCTCTAAATACCATATATTGGGACTTAGAGCCTCACATATAAATTGGAAAGGTGGCAGGGCATAGTTTAGTTTATAATACTCTAGGAAGCTTTGACCCAACATAACCAAATCCATGCTTTTGTCTACAAATTTGTCTCTTCTTTTTTACTCCCAACCTACATCTCTTTAATAGTACCAACATTCAGCCAGTTATGCAAAGCAGAAAATAATTTCTCACTTCATTTTACATATATCCTCTTCATGTAGATTCAATAAATAATCAAGCCTTATGAATCCTTCCTCTAGAAATGCTTTTGTATTTATGGCTTTCTATCCATTCCTATGGTTGCAGTCTTGCTTTGTAATCTCAGGATTTCATGTGTAAAATAGTGCAATAGTTTTCCAACTGATCTCTTTTGTACAAGTGCCCTCCTTCTTAAACTGTCCTCCACAGAGTCTCTAGAAAGATCTTCCAACATGCAAATCAAGTCATGTACTCTCAACTTGAAATTGTTTAGTGGCTTCTCACTGTCTTTAGTATAACATTTAAACTTCCTTTCAAGACACATAAGACCTTCCCCAACCATTTTTAAAAATATATTTTATTTATTTTTTACAAAGAGAAAGGGAGAGGGACAGAGAGCTAGAAACATCGATGAGCTGCCTCCTGCACACCCCCCACAGGGGATGTGCTAGCAGCCAAGGTACATGCCCTTGATCGGAATCGCAGCACAGGCCGACACTCCATCCACTGAGCCAAACCGTGTAGGCTTCCCCAACCATTTTTTACCCACACCTATGAGTCATATATTCCTTCCTACACCTCTCACTTTACACTATCCAGCCATACCAATCTACTTGCAGTCCCTAAATTCTTGTGGGAACTATGCCAGGGTCCCTGAATAGTCATGGTCAATAGGAGCACAGCAGCCTTTTTGTCAATACTCCAGAATGGCCAAGGCTACTCTGAATATGAGTCTATTTGGGATCCCAAGGTCAAAATACCATGAACAGCTGCAAAACCACAGCAATCCTAAGGTATTCTGTGCCCTTCTGTAACCCATATGATTTATTTCACTGTTGGCAAATAGCCTTCTTTATCTCTGGAGTAATATACATGTTACCGACTAGGAGTCTGAGAGAGAGAGAACAACTGAGTAGAGGCTAGAGAGGGCTCAGAAAAGCAGAGGCAGTAGGCACAGATAATTTAGCACTTATGTGTGCAGGAGAAGCTAGAGAGCTCAGACGGAGCTGAGAGGTGAGTACTGTTACAATGTAAGGCTAAGAGCTCATAGAGAGCTCATATATAGCTACCGTGTTAACCAGCCACTGTGCTGGACAGGATAGCTGCTGAGCCAGAGAGCTGTGATACCACTACAATGTGAGGCAATGAGTTTGGAGGCAGCGAGCGACTGCTCAGAGAATAGCTGTGAGCACAGTCACTAGTGCTGCTTTTATGGGAAAGATGTTTATTTACCAGCTGGTATCCGGCTGCCTGCCTACATGGACTTTACTGTAAGGACTGTTTTTGTCTGGTGCCTATGTGCCACTGGCTTCTGAAATAAGGACTCATTCTTTTTAAAAAAAAAAAATATATTTTATTGATATTTACAGAGAGGAAGAGAGAGGGATAGAGTTAGAAACATCGATGAGAGAGAAATCATCGATCAGCTGCCTCTTGCACACCCCCTACAGGGGATGTGCCCGCAACCAAAGTACATGCCTCTGACTGGAATCGAACCCGGGACCTTTCAGTTCGCAGGCAACGCTCTATCCACTGAGCCAAACCAGTTTTGGCAGGATTCATTCTTATACACCCACAACCTCTCATGGTTTCTCCATCTAAGACCCGGTGCCCAGGAGGTCCAGTCCCAGGCAGATGGGCTCAGACTCAACACCTGTTACTAGTGAGCAGAAGATAAAGGAGGAATTTGGAATAAGTTCCCCAACAGTTAGTACAGTGGGCAGGGCTTGAGAAGTCATCTGTCCTGTGCTTGGCGTAGTCAAATGAGAGAATTTATTAATAGAAGAATATATGGACTCAAAGTCGCTCAGAGCAACAGAGCTGTGCAGTGCTCTTGCTGTCCCTGACAATTTGTGACTTTTTTTTTACATTATTTTTTTTTTCTACATCCAGAAGCCTCTCTCTGTTTCCCATCTTAAGACTCACAGAAGTTACTCTGTGAAGCCCTTCCAGAATTTCCTTTGATGTTCTCCTCTTTGTTTTTCCAGAGCAAACTGTATCTCTGTTGATTATAGCACTTATATATTATACTTTATCTATTTGTGTAACACTTGTCCTTCCATGAGACTGTGACCTTAATTGTGGCATAGCCTCCTTAATCCCTGAATCCTGGTATTATACCGGGTACAGAGTGAGCATTTAAAATATTTGCCATAGTGCCTTGAATATAACAATTATTCCCATATAACACATTCCCTATTTATAGTTAAATCAATTTACTCAACGTATAGGTAGATACTTTCCAAAGTAACATAAAAGGTTTTTTAAATAAATAAATAAATAAATAAATAAATAAATAAATAATAAGACCTTAGGAAAAAAAATAAGGAAACACAAAGTGGCATTTCAAATGCTGGGGAACAACATTACACTGTTCCTCTCTAATGTATTTTCCAGGTCCATGAAATTTAGTCCCATTTGTACTGCCCAGGTCAGAAGTGAAGCACATGCCTACTTCCCTCTCCACAGCAAGACATAGTGTTTCAATGTCAAACTTCCAACATGTTGCCTTCATCATCACCCCACTCTTGCAATGGCTACTACTCTCAATAGATTATTCTAGGGACTCATTGGACATACCACAGCCACTGACCATAATTTCTAAATTTTACTCAATTAGCTGCCTCAGAAAGGTCAAGAGAGTACAATTTCTTCATGAAGATGCCAGGGAACTGTAGGTTGAAAAACATCTAAAGAATTGCTTGATTATCAAATAGTGGAAATCTGTGATACACACTCAGTCACAATTTCAGTTCCTTTAAAAGGAAGATCTGGTGCGCAACCAAGGATCCAGGCAAATGCTTTTGAGCAGAAATGCTTCAGAGGCCTTGAGGAGATGAAGCAGAAGGAATCAGATTCCCGAAAAGAGGAAGGGAGGGAGGAAAGTGGAGACACAAGTTGGTAGAAACATGGCCACATCACAGAACACAACACTGACAAGAACAAATGTGCAGCAAAAGTGTATCACATCCAGAAGCGCTGTTGCCTTCACTGTACCTACTGGTTCCCTGCAGCTCTGCTTCTCCTTCCTTAGGTTTTTCTCTTGACCCTGGTGGGTT